GATATTTCCAAAAAACTGAAATTTAGTCAGTTTTTTGGCCATATCTCCGACAATTTCCGTTAAAAATGAATTTGACCAAGACAAAAAATGTGGGGAGTGAGCTCAGCTTAAATTTCCAGGAGAGAAAAATGAGAAACGACCATTAGAACCGGAGATATTTCCGAAAAACTGAGATTAACATCTCAGTCACTAAAGTCAGTTTTTGGATTCTATCTCTGTCAATTTCCGTCAAAAATGAATTTGACCAATACAAAAAATGTGGGGAGTGAGCTCAGCTTTAATTTCCAGGAGAGAAAAATGAGAAAAGACCGTTAGAACCGGAGATATTTCCAAAAAACGGAAATTTTAATTAGTTTTTGGGTCCTATCTCCAGTTCTAATTGTCCTATCTCATTTTTCTCCTATCTCTTTTTTGGCCATATCTCCGTCAATTTTCCTTCAATTGCCCCCTTCTCCTCCCTTCACCCAGTCGGGAATTGAAAAAAAAAATCTTACTTGACTCTAACCACTTCGCCCCCTCGCCCTGTCGCCAATCACTCGAAAACCGAAAAAATAACTGTAAATAATAATATTATTGAAGCCATTAATTATTAATTAGTAATTAATGAAATTATCATCAATCATTTTTATTATTTAACTCCAATTCCCCCCCCCCACAACCCGCCGCCCAACTCCTTAAAAAAAAAATTATCAATAATAATTTATATTTGGTCTCTACCACCCCGCCCACCAAAATAATAATTAAGTTTCCAATGATATCTTAGCAATAAGATCGCTTTCGGGTCTTAAATCAAGACTTGCTTCAGTACTTAAAAATCGCGACATTTGGATCTTAAAAATCGCGACATTTGGTTCTTAGAATAAGAGCCGAATTTTTGTAGTGCAACCGGCTCCACAAAAAAGGTTTTAACAAAAATTTCGTTATCTCCCTCAAATTCCGAAATATTTATTGAAAACTGGTCAATAGTCAAAATTGACTTGTACCGTTATACCAATTCGTTACTGATTTAATTTCATTTTTTTTCTTCAATTTCACAAACGCACGAGTCATTTCATAGAAATGCAGAGGTAATGGGAATTGTTGGGATGCTTGTAATGGCTCGTTTGGGATTTATCCAGGCCCACCACATCCCGACTGGAATCAAGACTTAGATTGTAGAGTTGAGCGTGCCATGAATTACTTGAGACAGTGGAAATACATCGACACAGGTGACCCAGTCATTGTCGTAAGTGGATGGCGCCGTGACCAAGGTTTCACCCACTCTATTCGGCTCGTTTATGTAACACCTGCTGCATTTTCCAAGGGGTCTGAGGACTTTGAAGACACTTGGTGATGGTCGTGCAGAGAACATTGTTTATAAATTCATGAATTAAAGCTATTTCGTTAATTTTGTACGATCCACGAAAATGAAAAATAAAAATAATTTTAGTTTCGCGTGAGTGTTTACTACAAATATTTTTAATTTAAATAATGAACAGTACTTTTTTTTAATTATCAACGCCGTAATTTAATATAGTAATTCAATTGAATACTGAATTACTTATTGTTATCTTTTCGCTCATTTTCTGCGTTCTACAACCAACACATTGTACATATGTAACTTGCAAATACGAGGCTGAAGGCCCTCGGACGATGGTTCCCGTTAAAAATAAAATAATAATTGAATTTTAATTCAATATTGAAATTGAAAAATGATCTATTATCGCAAAGCAGTCATGCATCGGGTAATCTCAATACCCTGGCATATGTGACACTGCCACCGGTTATCTACTATCAATTGCAATTACCTTGCAATGCCCGCCCACGCTCGCTGCCCCCAGCTGTCAAAAAATTCCAACTCCCCATCTTCAAGTACCAATCATCCGTTTAAACTTTGAGGATAAAAAAATCATTCCCGGAACTGCGTGCGACTGGAGTCAGATGACAAGTTACATTGCGGGGTATTGTATCGTGTGCTCATGGGGAAAGTCCAAGCGGAACATTCGGATGCCCTTCGGCACAGTCAACAATTCAGAATGACCAGTGGTCCGTCGATACCTCTGATTAGATACGCTTCATCAAACTTTTTCAATTGATAAAACTGTAAATCGGATTGCCGGCGTTGTCGCAGCACTGGGGTAACGACAAAGGGATCGTTTTTCTTCATTTTATGTACGAAGAAAGTGAATGGAATAACTGTTGGAAATTATGCAATTTTTTCGCTAGTTTTTCCAATTGATATTCGAAGGAAAGGAAATAGCTTGTGTTTTTTGTGCACATTTTTGTCATTTTACTGTGATGTCTCTGAATATTATAAAAATCCAAATCGACTTCTGGTAATCAAATTAAGACTTCAAAAATAAGGATAACGAGGGTCGTCAGGGTCAGAATAAGGATTATGAGGGTCAGAATAAGGGTCGCGAGGATCAGAAAAAGGTCGACAAGTGTCAGAATGAGGCCCAGGAGGTTGAGATTAAGGGTCGCAAGGATCAGAAGGTTCAAATTAAGGGTTGCATGGGTCAAAAGGATCAGAATAAGGCCCACAAGGGTCAGAATAAGGTTCACGAGGATCAGAATAAGCCTCAGGAGGATCAGATTAACGGTTGCAAGGGTCAGGCAGGTCATATTAAGTGTCGCAAGGCTCATGAGGATCAGATTAAGGCCCACAAGGGTCAGAATGAGGATTATGAGGGCCACAATAAGGGTCGTGAGGATCAACAGAAGGCCCACAAGAGTCAGAATGAGGCCCATGAGGGTCATATTAAAGGACAGAAGGTTCAAATTAAGGGTTGAAAGGGTCAGGAGGATCAGAATAAGGCCCACAAGGGTCAGAATAAGGTTCACGATGATCAGAATAAGGCTCAGGAGGATCAGATTCAGGGCTGCAAGTGTCAGGAAGGTCACATTAAGGGTCGTGAGAATCAGAAAAAGGCCCACAAGGGTCAGAATGAGGCTGAGGAGGGTCAGATTAAGGGTCGCAAGGGTCATAAGGGTCAAATTAAGGGTTGCAAGTGTCAGAATAAGGGTCAGGAGGGTGATATTAAGGGTCGAAATGGTCATGAGGATTAGATGAAGGGTCAGATTAAGGGTCGCAAGGGTCAGCTTACGGGCGCAAATAAGAGCAAGAAGGCTCAAATTTATCGGAGATATTCCTCAAGCCAAGTCGAGTAGAATCGTTTTACCGTTTCGCTACTAAATATTATTAATAAAAGTTGCAAACTCATGCTAGAGAATTTCTCGAACGAAAAACAATCTTTAGAGAGGAAATCTTAAAATATTTAAGTCCAGTGACTTTTTTTTTCATTATATGGTATTACATATACACAACGAGTGTGAGTTATACTCATCTTCTAGAGTGATATATTTTATTACTTGAGAGCTTTCGGGAATGCTTAATCCGCGCTGAGGAGCTGACCACCCACGTATCGGGCACAAACGGGTCGTTATCCTCACAGCAAGAGCTTCAACTTTTACTCACACGTGTTTCCAGAGAATTTCAAATTATCATTTGTTCTGTGCTCTGCAGGGCAGTATGAATCGAGATAACTGATGATTGCTTTAATGACGCTGATTTTCTCCATGAGCCCACTATCTTCAAGGAAGAGGGACTATTGAAGGACAATTTATGCGGGATTTCTTATGATGAAGACATACTCGTTAGGGCTTCAAGGAAATTTGTGCCTTCGCATTGAGGAAGGAAAATCAAAGGACAATCAAATAATTATGGAGCTATTGTCCGAGAATATCTAGGGCACATGGAAATGTCAAAGTGAGGGAGAATTTTTTCATTATTCTGACGTGACACCCATCAACTGTACAAACATATTATTATCCTGAATAACTCCCTCGCTAGTTATTCAAAACTCGTCTGCGAATTCGTTCCCTATAAACACCGAATCCATTATTGTTAGCAAACAGAATCAAAGAATGATTATTCCCCCCCGAAAGTAGTATTTCACGAAATAAATTATCACTTTTCACCCTCTGGGTAATGATACAGTTTGCTCGAATGATTTTTAAGGTATTGTACGGAGAAATATTCACGTGAAAACAGTACTAATTCATATTTCAAAAATAATTCGAGCGAAATTGCGTTGCGCGTTATGTTCAGAGGTGAAAATTCCCCTGGGATTTTAATGGGATAATTCTCATTCTCCTGTCTCACTTATTAGCAAAATTATTGCAATGAAAATTTATCAATTAAGAGGAAGAAAGGGAATGGAGAGCTTAACGGAGTTGCCTTCTTCATTAAAAGAGTTCTCCTCACTTAATGATTCGTTTTATTTGTTCAATTTATGTCTCCGTTTCGTGCCTGTCAGAAGGGCTAATTAAATTCATTGGATATGAATGGAATTTAGATTTAATGATGACGGAGAGGATCGACGAATGAATTTATCGTGAATTCGTCTCGATGCAACGGGAAAAATTCACTTGCAGTGGATCTCTCCCCTTCCATATTTTCGACGATTTTTTAACGTTTACTGAGCTCTCACTCGACACAAAAATACCACTCGCTTATCGTTCTCTCCCTCCCACGACGGAAACTGCGCCGGGGGTTTTGTTTTTACATTAGCACCGATCGACCTCGAGTGGACAGCTCTGAGTAGCCGCTTGACGCTTCAATGCAACCCCCCATATCACATTTTCCGTTTGCTTTCTCGGCATGTCGGGGCACCATTCTCCATTAGCTGATTTACATTCGTAAATTTTCCTTTATACCAAACAGAAATCATTAGTTTTACGATTAGGAGAGGGGGGGA